TGGAGCCCTACCATGGTTCCATCTCACTGTGCATGTGGTCAGCATTCTCCGTTTCGCACGTCCCTCTCATGCCATATGGGAGGATACCCTTCAATCAGGCACAATGAAATTAGAGATCTCACAGCTGATCTTTGTCCGAGTTGCCACAGTGTTCCACCGAACCTCATCTTCACCGTTGATGGTGAAGTTTTGAGAAGTGCATCTGCCATGCTTGTGATGGTGCTCGCTTGGACATTGCTGCAATGGGTTTTGAAGATTTGAGAGAGCATTTTTTGATGTCAGGTCTTATAATCCCACGCTCCTTCAAACCGTCGACCTCCAACTTACCACTTGCTATCGCCATCATGAGATGTACAGAAACGTGCCTACGAGCAAAGAATCAGAGAATTGAACATGCTTCTTTTGCCCACTCGTTCTGTCTGTCACTGGTGGTTTGGGTCGCATTGCCACAACAACGTACAACGTCTGCCTCAATGCTCTCGTCAAAATGGAACCAACCCTACTCCAGACTTCAACAGTATCACAGCACAGGAAACTGACCCAATATCTACTCAAGTGCGCAAATACTGTATGGAAGGGTGGCCAGACGAGAGAAAAAAATCAGCAACAAGCTCAGGCAATATTGGAAAGCCCGAAGCCACCTAGTTATTAGGGGGCTACTCCTTTTCGGAAATCGAATCCCAAACCTCTTCGACGGAAAACCCTCAACATATTCATGATGGTCACCAAGGAGTACAACATGCAGACTCCGAGCCAACATATCTGTATGGTGGCTTGGAATCTCCCACAAAATCGAAAATACCGTCAAAGAATGCTCTATCTGTAGCTGAAATTTGGTTCCAACAAGAGAGCCAATGATCTCCAGCGAACTGCCACAGTATCCCTGGCATAAAATTGGTGTAGATCTAAAGGGGCTCGACTATCTGGTGGTGGTCGACTACTTTTCAAGGTACCCCGAGGTGTACAAGCTCAATTGCACAACATTGCTCGCCGTTGTGGAAACACTGAAATTGTGCTTTTCACAATTTGGGATACCAGAAATGGCCTGCAATGATAATGGACCACAATTTGCATCCGATGTATTGAGTCAGTTTGCCAAAATTTACGACTTCCAACAAGTCACCAGCAGTCCACTCTATCCCCGGAGCAATGGTCTAGCAGAACGCACAGTTCAAACAGTCAAAGCACTATTGAGGGATTCTGAAGATCCTCATATGGCACTGCTGACATACCGTTCCACTCCCTTCCCATGGTGTATGCTTTCACTGGCCAAACTGTTGATGGGAAGACAACTGCGAACCAATGTTCCAATCCCCTCCACTCGATTGATTCCTGATTATAGAGAGAGTTATGTTGAGAGTGGAGTGGAGTTATAGAGAGAAATTGCGACAATTAGATTCGGCATTCAAAAGAAAACAAAAGGAGAACTATGATCAGAGATACAAAGGTCGCAGTCAACCTCAGCTGTCAACAGATTCAGACGTCTGGATAACATCAGGCAGGGAGCCCGTCAAGGGGTCAGTTGTCTAGTCTGCTCCAGCACCACGGTCGTATGTGCTTGAAACACCATCTGGGAACATTAGACGAAATAGACGTCACCAAGAAAGAAAACACTGTGGGGCAAGTAGCTACCTATCCCCAAGGATAACCCAAAGCCAACAGAGGAGTCGAAAATTCCATCAACAGATATGGAACGTGAACAAATCATGACACGATGAAGAACTTGAGTACCAATTCAACCACCAGAGACACTCGGCTTGCCGACACCAAACACTGTTTGACAAAGGGAGATGTAGAATGACTGTTATCATGTATATGGTTATGTCGTTGCACCGTCACTATTGTCTTGTATCGGTCTTGTAGTCGTCTGTTCATGGTTACACGGTTGTACTCACTGTGCCCCTATGTCTATAAAGACTGTGCAGTGTATTGAAAGATTATCCTATTTTCCCGTGGCTAAGCCAAGATTCTACATCATCCAGTGGTTGCCATGGTACCGTAGGGGGTGACTAGGACACACCCACTAATGACATCATCTGATACGAAGCACCATCACGGCTCTTTCTCTCTACCGCCATCTCAGACGTGCACTTAAGATGATCATTACGTAAATGATGTCAGTAAAATCTTGTGTTAAGGTGCAGTTGGACAAACAAGCAATGTACTGGTGTGTGAATGTTTCCCTTTCCACTGTAATCAGCAGTACCAAGAGCACATAATAGCACACGGAGGGGAAAGAGTGTGTAACTCAGGGCCGGGCAGAATAGCCCACCAGTGCTATTTTACGAAGTAGCTATCTCACGTGAAATGCCTGCTTGTCGCAACCGGTACTGTAGCTAATTTTTAGTATGGGTATTCCACCCATTCAATTGGCCTCTATCGCTCCGCATTCTATAATGTGCTCTTGGAAGCCTTAGTGGGGTACATATCCTAACGAAATGCATGAGGTGTCCTGATCAGGGAGGTGTGTCCTGATGTTCCGCAGGTATGGGGAGATGTTGGGACTGCTGCCATCATCTTCCTCACACCTCAGCACCCTCACCTCACTCCTAGAGCCACACCCATGCAACAGAACAGACTCCACCCACCCAGGGTTTGATTGGCTGATGTCAGTTTCCTTCCTCTGCACCAGAGGAGATGTGGAGAGAACTTCTCTCATCTCTCTACTGCTGCATGTCAGTATAAAATCTCTTGTATTCTCCCTAGGATATTAGCTCAGTATTCTAATGATGTTCCGGCATGGGATACTGTAAGGAACTCTTGCATTCGTTCTCCTATAAAAAATTAATTGGACCTTCTGTGATCAGTCAGACATGCCACATTGTGGAACCTGTTCTACAGGTAACTACATACATGTGTGTATGTGCATCCTATAGCATCCCTAGCAAGAGAGAGAACTACAGTATTGGGGCCCAAAGCATACCATGGGTCTCACTTCTGTATTAGGCACTCTATTGCACACATAATTATTAGTTATTAATGTGGGTGTGGCTAACCTGTGCCTTTGGGAAGGCAGCAATCCGCACAATCCCCGAAGTGTTTACATGATGTGCCCGATGTACATGTGTTTGTGACTGCCTCCAGTCAGATGCACATGTGTTTGTCTCTGCCTCCAGTCAGAAGCCCCTCACCTGATAGCAGTATTCCAGTTTGCCGGCTGTTCAGTGACTGCCTTAGTGAGTCACTGGACCAGACAGGTGTTCCTGAACCACCTGGACTGGCCACACCTCCTACTCTACCTGGCCACCACCTCCCTCATGGGGGCACACTATCAGGTTGTAACATGAAACTTTGTTGGATTCCCTAGTAGCATAGTTTGCAAGCGAGACTGAGTTAACCTAGTGGTCTGAATGGCACAGTTTTTTGACCTAGTACATATGTTGTTAGGTCGTCCAACTGGGCATGTGTTTGTATTCATCTGAGAAATTGGCTGGTTGTGTAGTGTTCGATCAGATAAGAATGAAGTAGCTGGTCGTGTCGTGTTCGACCAGATAAGAATGAAGTAGCTGGTCGTGTTGTGTTCAACCAGATAAGTATGAAGTAGCTAGTGGTGTTGTGTTCGACCAGATAAGTATGAAGTAGCTAGTTGCGTCAGATAAGTATGAAGTAGCTGGTTGCGTCAGATAAGTATGAAGTGACCGAACTCAGGATTCAAAACAAGTTTGAACTAGTATGTAAGATCATGGTAAGCCATTATTGCATGGAGCATGTTCAATTGTCAAAAGGTTTACTTGGACATAGGTAAAATGTATGTATAATAAACTATAGCAGCTATGTGGGTACTTTCATAATACTTCTCCTCCCCACACTCTCTTCAGGCCTATTGGTGTGTGAGTTACCTCGCGATAAGCGGAGTAAGGAGACAGCCATCTTACTCCACTACCAGCATGGGGACCTCCTACCTTTCCTTATGGAGTACCCCACTGGGGAACCAGGGGAGTTCCAAGTAGGCGAGTGGCTGGGCTGCATGAGGCAGTTGGAGGAAAGATTCACTCACTTGACTGTCACATGATGACTTGGTTCACTTCAGCAATAATTCATTATTAAGTGATTATAAAAACTCTCGTTGCTGGATCCTATGTACATGTCAACAAGTAAATTAAAAATCCTGCCAATTTAAAAAAGGGATGGAAAGGGAGACAAGATAGGGATGGGATACATGAAGCATGGTTAACAAACAAATTTGAGCACGCTGACACCCCCGACCCCATCACACAATCCCTATATTGGTAAACATGTAGCTAGTTGTCATGGAAAGTGAAGAAGTAACTTTAAAGCAAATTGCCTGAGGCTCTTTATTGTGGTTTTCTGCTGGTGACTGAAACATTATATTTAGTTAACATAGCTCTTACCTTTGTGAATAACACTAACACACGAGTGCCCTTTATAATGTATTGCCTGGGGCTATTTGTTGTTGTTTACAGTAAGCAACATTGTTTACAAACAAATAAGTACCCACAGTCTCTTCGCCTTACAGATATCTGCTTTCCTACAAAATTTCATATCCATACGTTATTTCGTTTTTGAGTCTTTCGTCCTGAAGAAGAAGAAGAAGAATCATAGCCCCATACATTTATGATACTAGGTAGCTACCATGCCCATCCCTATATGTATCAAAGCAAGGACAAAAAACAAGGATGACCCAGTGCGTTTGATGCCGTCAAAAAAATTTAATGGATGGTGGACTTCACACTAACATTGCTTGCTCAGTGCGGACTGCTTTGGGAGAAAATATTGAAGATTTCGAGCAGCAAAGCATACTATTCGCGAATGTTGCATAATGGCAAACACTGCTGCAGGTGCAAATAATGGCTGTCGAGCAGATTTGACTGAAACACTTTAA